CTGACATCGGCCTACTACGGCCGATTGGAACTCTTGTTCCCAGTAACCGTTGGCATTCTCACGCCCCCCCACCCTGCTCGACCTACTGTGGCCCACACTGGAACCGAGCTTCCCTGGTTCCCCATATCACCCGGTTCCGCCACCGACCCCGCTCAGCCTTGTAACCATGAGGCAATAACTAGGCCTTTCTTATGGACACCTGCCAGGGTGTTCCTAATTGCCCAAGTCCGCAGGAACCACCAGAGTATCCTCCTTGGGGCCTTACTGCATTTTGCCTTCCCTCGCCAATCTGCCCAGATTGCTGCTCTTAAGCCTCTCTTGATCAGCAATTTGGTCTCCTGATCTGCAAAGGGGCGACCCTCAAACCGGGAACGGTTTCTGTCAGCCCAAATGACTGAACAGATCACCGCTCTGGCTACCTGAGCCACATAAGACCAGCCCCGTTGACCTGTATCTTCCCTCTTCACGAAACCCAGAAGAACCCAATTCTCGTTCCATTCAACATCCTCACCTCCCATTCGCTCCCAATGCTCCGCCCACCAAGCCCAGATTCGTTTCGAGGCTGGGCAGTCCCACCAAAGATGCTTGGTTGACTCGAAAGGCCAAGTACACCTTGAGCAGCCCAGCGGAATATCACCCCCCTTACCGCTCAGCCAAACCGCAGAAGGAGTGATAAATAGCGAGATTAACCAAAGAATACTGGCCTGCTTCCTATCAGGAATGAGCTCCAGAATTTGCCACACTGTGACGAACCACTTGCTGTAACGCGTGATTTTCTGCGAGGTTGCAATAAGGGGTCCTAAGCTGGGAAGATTGGGCCAATTACGGGAGACCGGGATCGGTGGAGAATTGCATCAGTGTCCTCGCTTCTTTTCACCCTTTTTCGCCGTTTCTTTTTCGAATGGCCGAGCACGGGGTCGGGTGTGTCTTGGGACGGTCGGTGGATTGATTGGTCGAATGGTTGATTGGCGCGACGCCACGCACACGCGCGATTAATAAATGTCGACGTCATTTCTTTTGGTTCGGTTTCGATCTTTTGGGCACGGACATCGCTCGGGAAGTTGCTTTGTTCTTTTTGAATTTCCTTTTGAATCTTTTTTTCGAATTTTGTCGAGCCCCCAATGACTCTCGGAATTTTGGACTTTCCTTCTGGAAATTGTGCTTTTTGCTTTTTCGTAGTAGATAGGAATTTAGGAATTCAGTAATTAGGACTTTTTTTCTGCCGCGCGGCGCCTTTTGTTTACGCGCTTCTGCATGCGGCTGCAACGGTACTCTGATTAGTAGGCGCCCTTAATCGCGTATGTAACTGTAATTTTGGGCGGGCGCCATTGTAACTGTATCTTTCTTCTTGCACTTTCCCGCCCTCCCTCTCTTTCCTTTGCTGAAATTTTGAAAGTCGCGGCTTGCATGCTCGGATCGATGCGTGGAGAAGGGTTATGTCCCCCACGCCGCGGCCGATCATGCAGAACGCAGGCGCTCCCTCTCTAATCCTCAGTCTAAGTCCTAGTAATTCCGTGTTCCTCGCGCATGTATGCACACTATAAATTTCGGCTGCGCGATTAGTCAGCTCTCTTAACCCGTTGTTGGAAGCTCGGGGTTGCGCGATCAGGAAGGGTCGGCACACGAGCGAAGTAAGAGGTGAGTAGAGTAGGAGTTGGGCGACCCGAYGGGCTGGTGCCGAAYGCRCGGGATTGACGTGGSCCACGACGGACTGTGGGCACGGGCGAATCCGACGGGTGCGGGAGGACTAAGCGGGGTGACAACTTCGTGGGTTGGTGCATGACGACGGACTGTCCGCATCGGAGTGAGAGAGAGAGGAGAAGAGAGTTGAGGTTGATGGACGTGGATTTGCTGTTTCTTTGTCTCTTCTCCCTCTCCATCTGTGTACATACAATTTGATTGCGGCTCCGGGCGGTTTGCTCGCTCTTATCTTCGTTTCGGCTTTCTGAAATCTGGGCTTGGATTTTTGCTCGCATTTGTCTTCGCGATGTCCGTTTTTGCTTGCGTTATGTGTATGTTTGTCGAATGTATGGACGCATGAATGTTATGCCTGCTTGCCTATCTCTTTTGCGGAGAATCCCTGCCCTTGCTTTCTGTTTGTGCCGAATCTTTGCTTGCACCAGATGCAGCGATAGATGGGATAAGAATCTCGTATGAGCACGTGTTGGACAGGCGAACTTAGTTGCGCCCCGGCGTGCTCGTGCGGGATGGTGGCTCCGCCGCGAGTCCTGTCTGGGCGGGCGAATCGACGCACGGGAATGCGTGTAAGGGCGCGACTCGGATCGCGTTTATACGTGTTCTCGCGCGGCGTTCACGGGGCCAGACTTCGGATCGTCAATTATGCAAGATGCAACCATAACACAATCCCCATCATGAGATAAGCAAAAACGAGAACGAAGTCGACATCGGGTGGCGATAACCCGGCCCGCACTATCACACCGACAATGACACCATGACGAGATCTTGGGGCTCAGACTCATCCTATGACCCGGACTATTTCACTCGTATAATAAACGAGCTCATAAGGACACGATACCCCTGTCACACGGAGAATTGGCTATGTCCGCAGGAATTCCACTGTGCCACCACTAGCGACCCTCGGTGCTCCGATTTTCCTTCCCCCGACCACACCTACTACTTCACCCACCCAGGATTCGTTGAGATCACCACCAGTTTCCCTCCTTTCCGCCTCCTTCTCCCGTATCATCAACTCAGTGTTGTTCCGTGGCCGGCCATAGCCCCCTATTGGCCCAATACGTTTTGCATGAACTGCCGACGCAACGGCGTGCAGAGCACTCCGGAATTCCGAAGGCCCAACCTAGGTACGCGGCGGCCTGCGCCGCGTGGTGGCCCCCGACGGCCTAACTTTTCAGGACCACCTCCACCACGGAGGAATTTTCCCGTAACCCGTCGTCCACAGTATCCTGGTCCCTTGGGACTGTGAAACCCTTGCGTGCTCACCCCTCGCTCGCCCAATTACATTCATATCCTTAAGACCCCCCCCACTTCCCCCAAAAATCCTTGGCACACCCCTTTTCGCACTTCGAGGCCCACACTCCACTCCGATCAGGAAGTCGCGCTGGGCGTGAGGTTGGGCGTCAACTTTCCGGAAATCCTCTGCACAGTCTAGCAGGTCCCTCTGTAAGACTGGGCTCTATCTGGAGATCGCCACTGTTGTGGGAGATCTGGTCCTTGTATCCGATAAGCCATACAACTCCTTGGCTGTGTAAGAGACTAAGTCATATCCATCGGGAGAAACTGAGGTAGGCTTACCCTTACTCCAACCCCACGCTCTAGGGTCGATTGACAGGGCCAACAATGGGGCATTTCCTACCCAACTCACTGACTTTAAACGGCTCCTTTTATCACAATCTTCAACCACCCTTATTTGCGGCGGGTTCGTCCACTGCGAGATCACTTCCTCTCCAATCAACTGTAGGAGCCCCGAGGGTCCTTCTCTATGCCAAACCTGGACTTGACGAAACCCACAGTCCGTTAGACCCATCACTTTCCAAACCTTCTCCTGGGGCAGGCCTGGCTCTGGGGCATACCATGTCCCGGGGGGGTCTAATCCCTCGGGCCCAAGCAGAGTCTGCCAGTCACCTGGAATGGCCTGCAGGATCACTCCCCAGTTATCTTCCACTCTCCAAAGACCATGAAGGGTGGCATGAACCTCCTGCAGCGGCTTCCAGGAACCCAGAAGCTCCGACCAGAGATCGACCACCCTCACCACACCCTTTTTAATCCAAGATCGGTCGAAAGCACCTGCCTCCTGTCCGGCTGAAAACTGGTTCCCATTAGCGTCCAGGAGCAGGGGATTCTCGAACAGAGGCTGCGCCAAAACTTCTTGTTTCGTGTGTGGCGGGCTACGGATGTCAGGGAGATACTTCAACCAGGCCCTTCGCACTGGGTCCCAGAACTCTGAGTGCAACTTCTTCCGGAGGAAAGACTTCATGAAAAAACATACCCAGACATCTTCCCCCCTGCACAATTGCCACTGCCTTTGGAGTAAGCGTTCGGCCAGCAAAATCCAGTCCTCCTTTACTACAGCCATGGCCACCTTCACCAGCCAGTTCCGCAGTTGAGCCTGGTTTTTCCTATGTGGGTCGACCAGGCCCAAACCCCCTTGGTCCTTAGAATAGGTAACTAAATCCCAAGCCAGCTTAATCAAGGCGCCCTCCTCTCCTTTCGCCTTTGGTTTCCACAGGAACCGAGTCGCCAATCTCTTAATTGCAGCCAAGGAACTCCCACCCAGTTTCCTCACTGTTCCTACGAAAAAAATCAGGGAAAACAAGGCGACGTTTATGACCAACGCTCTTCCAAATAACGAGAGGTGCCAGGCCGAACCCCATAGCTGAAGTTTTGCAGACACTCGTTGCTGCAGCACCATTCCCTGAGCCATTCCCATAGCCTGAGTGCTTACCAGTACTCCTAAGAACCGTTCGCCCTTCCCCGGATCAACTCTTTCCATACCCCACTCCACTTTTAAGACAAAGTCTTGTGGGAGAAGGAAAACCGGCTTATTCCAGTTAACCAAGGCCTCCGACAGTTGCGAAAATTCCATTAGAACTTCTTTCACCGCCATCAGAGATTTCACGGAGTTTTCCGAAATCAGGAACAGGTCATCCGCCAAAGTTTTGACCCTGCACTCCCTGTCAGAGGATAACTGCAGGCCGCGGATCCTAGGATGCTTCCGAATTCTGTTCAGGGGCACCTCCAGCTGCATCACAAAGAGCAGGGGAGCTAGGGGGCAACCCTGCCTGAGAGAGCGAGAAAGATGAAAGGGGTTGGACAGATGACCGTTAACCTGAACCGCCGATTCTGCCGTCGTGTACATGGCCACCACCCACTTACAAAAACCTTGACCGAAACCCATCTTCCTTAAAGTAGTCAACACAAACGGCCAGCCAACTCTGTCGTAGGCCTTCTCCATGTCCAAAAAGAGAACTGCCAGGTCCAGGTTCTCATCCCTGATTACCTCAATACTCTCAATCGCCGTCAGAATGTTCACAAATATCAACCTTCCTTGCACGAAAGCCCCCTAATCATGCTCCACCAGCTTAGGCAAGATCCTTCCTAAACGCAACGCCAAAGTCTTGGCCAGCAACTTGTAGCTCACGTTCAACACCGAGATAGGCCGGTAGTTCCTGATGTTGGATTTATCTCCTTTTTTGAACATAACAGAGATAACCCCAAAGGTCATCAAATCCCCCAGCTTTTCCCCTGTCAGCACCTTGTTGTAGACTTCGACCAAGGCTGGTCCTACAGCATCCCAACAACTCCGATAGAATTCTACAGTCAACCCATCTCTTCCTGGGCATTTCCCCGCTGCCATAACTGCCAAAGTGTGCTGCAATTCATCGATAGAAACAGGTCTGTCTAGGCTCAACCGCTCTGCTGGAACTAGTGTCGCATCTGTATCCTCCCACATATCCAGCTCCATAGAGAGATCACTGAGCACGTCCTCCCTAGGCTTCCTGGACATCAATATGTCTGAGTAGTACAACCGAGCATAATCTAAAATGCCCTCGGGGGAGATCACTGGTGGGGGATGGGTGAGCTGAACTACCTGGTGGAAGCAGTAACTAGGCAGCAGCCTCTGGAAGTTCTCTTTCGATAGCTTATCTTGCACAATGATACCTTTAACCTTCAGGTTCTCCTCCCATCTAGCCTGACGCTCAATTTGCAGCTTCTCCCACGCAGCCATTCTTTTCTCTCTTTCTGCCGCCCACACCAGTTCGGAGATGGGGTGCTGCTCCAGTCTCCTCTCCGCTTCCTCCACACTTCGCTTGCATTGCTCTTCCTCTCTATTCCTTTCCCTGGCCAGGATCCTAGAGCTCACGCTGAGAACCCTTGAGATAATAGCTATACCCCCATCCAACCATTCGGCTGCTGAACCAAAATCCCCCTTGGTCGTTTGCCAAGCCTCCATGTGGTTAGCTACCCAACCTTTAAGGCCCGGATCCTCCAAGTCCTTGGCATTCAGTTTGAAATAACCCCTCCCCCTCTCTTCCGACCTTGCTGTGACTAGATCTGCCACCACCGGCTTATGATCAGACAATGGGTGCGAGAGCTGCTTCACCTGTGTGACAGCCTGCTGCAGGGCCCTCCCAACCAAAAAATAATCTAACCTCCTTCGAGTGATTCCTCCATTGTCTTTCCTCACATTCGAAAACCATGTGTACCCTGCCTCGTCGGGGTTGAGTGACCTGTATGGGTCAGATAAGCCCTTAGCCATCATCAGGTCCAACAGAGCACAAGCATCCTTCCACCCTGCTGTATGGGATCCCTCCCTAGCAGCCTCATCCAGGGAGACATTCCAGTCCCCTGTAATCACCAAGTTGTCTGAGACCGGAATGCTCCCTCTGTCGTCGAAGAAAACAGCTCTAGCGGCTGGGTTAGACGGGGCGTAGACTGTCATTAACGTTCATTCTAGGAAGCCTGTGAGCAACCGTACCCAGGCCCACCTGCCCCAAATGTCGACTTCTGAGTCCAGGATCTGAGACCGACAATTCTTATGAATAAAAATCCCCACCCCCCCTCTAGATCCCTGGGCTGGCGACCACACCTGTGGGCCGTCCCACCAACGCTCCATTTTCCCCAGCTTTACCTCATCTAGCTTCGATTCCTGGATGCACAGACAGTCTATCTTCCGATCAAACATCCAGGCCTTCACTCTCTTCCGCTTAGCCTTCCCTGAACTGTCTACTAAACCCCTTACATTCCAAGTTGCTAAGGACAGCTTAACCATGAATCTGGACATCATCCGCTAAACTTGGAATGCGGGATTCTGACTGGTCGTCACCCCACCTGCGCTGCCCTTGTGCAGGGGATTGACGCCTCGAACTTCTGCTCCCTGAGCCCCGGGACTGCGCAGACTGTGCAGAATGAGAAGGGGATCTCCATCCAACTACCAAGGAGTCCTCCATAAACCTCGACTGCAAATTCTTTTCAGCAGGTAAGGAGGCATTAAGCTGAAGCAGCAGCAAACCAGAAACATCTTGCGCCAACGACAGCGTTTCCAACTCGTGACGATTTTGCTCTCTTATCCCGTCCAACTTAAACCACCGAACTCCCGCCTGAAACAGAACATCTGCATTGCCTGCATCTATATGGAAAGTAAAATTTAGCAATATTATTTTCCAGCGGGACTTGACAGTTTGCCATTACTGAGCTCGGGATAATCCGCAGTGGAAAAGCATCCCCATACAGGTACTTTGTTCTTGTGATAATCTCTCCCGGCAAAGGAGTTCTCTCTGTCGGTACCGACGGCAGATACAAACTGCCATCTAAATGCATCTTCCCCAAAAAGACCGGGGTGCCATCCATTACTGTACACACCAGGGGGGCCATTCTTCTCTCAACCGGAAGGGTCTTCCTATACCCTCTTTTACTTGTGGTGTCTGACGCCGCCATCCTTCCACCCGAAATTCCAGCCGAGCTTCCCGTAGAAGATTCTGATCCTTCAGCCTGCAGAAATCCTGACCCTAGCAAGGCTGGATCATCCCCAACCAGTTCACTGCCCATTTCCACTTTCGAGTTCGAGTGAATCGAAAGACGGGAGTTCTCCCTCCCCAAATCCTTCTCCCTTATCCTCGCGCTCAGACCCTGAAACCTCGAACCTGACGGCGCTGTGCCTTTGAGTGCTGACCTGTCTCGTGGATGATCTGAGTGAAGTGATCCTCCCCGTAGTTGATTACTGTGATGTGATGGAGCTTGCCTCCAAACCCCTCCAGTGGCGTGCTGACAGGCCCCAATGGGAAAACCTCCACCATACTGGAGATTAGAAGGACAAGCCTGTTGGCCCAACTGCAGAGCAATGTACTCTTCCTCCGCTCTACCCACCGGATAAGAGTAAAGTTGTCCTTGGTTGCTATCTGGTCCACCCTGAAAGCACTGCTGACCCACCACCAACTGTGGGTGAAAAATTTGAGAGGCTCCAACCGGACCACTGGACAGTTGATACCAGGAAGGCATAAGAGAACTACCCGGTGGAGGAGGAATCCCAGGCTGTTGGAACAGAGGGTGAAATCCAGACACCGGGCCGCACATCGCAGGCCTAGGGGGACCGCACCCCATCTGCTGAAGAGCTTGTTGGGGGTGTACCTGTGCTTGGATGGGCTGCTGCTGCTGCCGCAGATGCTGTTGCTGTTGTTGCGGTTGATGTTGGTGCTGTTGTTGATGCTGCTGCTGCTCCTGCTGCTGCTGTTGTTGTTGCAAAAGTTGCTGTTGTTGTTGTAGTTGTTGCTGATGTTGTTGTTGTTGCTGCTGCTGTTGTTGTTGTAGTTGTTGTTGTTGTTGTTGTTGTTGTTGTTGTTGTTGTTGTTGATCCCCCGGAGGTACCAACTGCACCCCACTCCCACCAGTAGATCTCTCAGCACGCTCCCTCTGTTGCTGCTGGGACCGGTCTTCCTGCGTCGGGAGTCTCGAGTTGGCCCATGTTCTTCTGGGTCTTCCCTCTACTGCCAGTCTCGGACAGTTGTCTTCTGTATGAAAGTACCACCGGCACTTACGACACCAGTCCGAGAACGGGGTTGCCACCTCCACTTTCCACACCCCCCCTTTCGGGGATTCAATCAGCAGGTGATCCTCAACTCTGAACCTAGCTTGAGGTTCCATGTCTAGCTTCATGTTCACTAGCTTGGGTTTGGATCTATCCGCTTCCGGGGGGTGCATGAACTTTACCCCTCCAATCAACCCCTCCGCCGCCGAGGCAACATAGTACATCGCCTCCAGAGGAACCCTCAACGCGACTATCCAAAAGTTAGTCTCGGCCTCCCTAAGCTTCACTTCCTTCAACTCTTGTTTCATCATCCAGGGTTTCAGGGTGACAGTGTAGTCCTTACCCCTCAAGTTGAGGGTAATCGTGCCTTTCTGAGCCAACCAGTTGGCCCCTTCCACCGCCTTAGCAACATAAGAAACCACATTAGGGCCCTCAAATTTCACTCTCCCTCGCCGCAATTCAGGATTAAACAGCCTTCTTGCTGTCCACCCATCCTCATATGCCCTAATTAAATCCTCTTTTACTCCCCGCGTCAGGTCCTTGGCCTCCTCTTGAAAAATAAAAATCACTGTTCGCTCTTTTAGCCACTTTTCTTTAAGGGGTAACTTCGGCGCAGTCACGAAAATGGTTTGTAATTGCATTCCAGACACCGATTTGGCACTTTAGTCAGGGGCCGAGTTTCAATTGCAGTTGAAACTCGTCCGTAGGCAGTTCAGTCTATCCATGACCAGCAGGTTAAAAAAAAAAAAAAAAAAAGCATCCCTTATGCTGTGATTGCGTCCAATACAGGATGCCACAGTACTTGTCTGGACCAGAAAGAAAGCGAGGCAGTTAGCTGCCTGGCGTGAAATCCGCCCTGCCTGGCTGGCAGGGCGCTACAGGGACCTCACAAAGAGAGACAAAAAATGAAAACGACCCGTTTCATCTTTCTCACTTCCTGGCCAGATACATTCCTCAAAGCACTGGTGACGTGAGGGCCTTCCCCACGTAGCTGGATTC